CTCCTGAGTAGCTGGGACTACAGGCACCTGCTATAATGCCTGGCTATTTTTTTGTTGCAGTTTGGCCGGGGCCGGGTTCAAACCTGCCATCCTCGCTATATAGGGCCAGTGCCCTACTCACTGAGCAACAGGCACTGCCCACCTTTCTCTTTTTATGCTGATTTTGTCAAATCTGCTCATCAGTTAAGGATAGAGAAACAAGTCACTTTAATTTACTCCTCTTTTTCTATCTGCGGTTCATGGGCATATTAAAGTTTTACCCAGTTTGCTAAGTACACATATGATACTATATTGGATGCAAATATATACACACAGGCTAAGATATTCATTGTTTAACTTAACACCAGTTAAAAAGTGGATTTATCCAAATTTAACAACTTCATCCCAATTTTCTGAATCACACTTATCCTATATAAAGCAATTTGGTTCTAATATTATGCACAACACATTCAATTTTAATAACATTCATCTACAAGAAAAACAAGAAAAATAATCAAAACTATGTTAGTAATTAGTCTTGTTTGGTCCATTGTATGCAATCAGGAAAGTATAGGACTTAATTAGTTGCTACTGAACTGAAGCAATGAAAAAGATTAAAAATCAAAGTACTTAAAATAAAAATATGGAATTACCCCCCTCCCCAATACTAAAGGGACACAAAACAACAACTACTGTCCCACCAAGCAAAAGTGGAAAACAAACAGAGAGCATGTGTGTAACCTCACTTACCATCTTTTTGTTATTCTACTTCAACGGGTCAAGAAAGGTGAAGAGAGAGAAGGTAGAAGTAAGAGTCAGAAAAGGCCTAAATAAAATCCTCACTGAAATTTTTAAACATATAAGCAATAGAGACAAATTAGGTTGAGGTCAGATGCAGTTATTACTATATTTTATGGTGTTAATAATTAGGGCCAAGTTAACATGGACAATTATTCCTGAATGAAAATTAATTCATTAAACGATTTAAATTTCCATTTCTTTTAATCTACCACCACATTTTAGCTAACAAGACACAAAATGTATAAGTCACACTACTAAGCACACAAATTCCAAAAAGTCAAGTTTCTTTTACTGAATTTAAGAATGTTAAGAAAAATAAACGTCAAGTTTCTTTTACTGAATTTAAGAACGTTAAGAAAAATAAAACAGCAAAGGTCTATCTGAGTAGGTAGAGAGTTAGACATTTAGGGTTGTTTTTCTAAGCTCTAGTATTCAATTTAAATTAGACACAGGTCTCTTTTACTTGTTTTCTTCTGGAAGAATGATTTAACTTGGGAGGCTTAAAAGACTGCAGAGTGAATAGAACTGAGCCAATAGAACACAGAACGACAAACCATAAAAGCAAATGCTACTGGCGAATTCCTTACCAAAAACTGATTAGAATATTGACAAGTTTGATTTCTATCACTTGG